TGTCCATGAAAAAAGTGCCTGAGGCACCACATTTGCAGTGAATCCTTCTCTATGGCAGTGACATATAGAGGTCAGTTTTGAGTTATACCTGTTTTGTCCTAAAGGATTGTCCTATGCCTTCTTCTAGTAAAATATGAAAATAAAGTGGTAATTTCTGCTTTTATTACCAATGAGTAATCCAACCTGGTCATAGGAGTAAATGCTATAGTTTAAAGAAAACACAGTTAAAATATTTCCAGCTGTATTCCAACTATTTAGACCTGGAATTTGGATGTCTTCAACAATGCAACTCAGAGAAAAAAATAGCCACACTTTTTGATGACACAATGAACTAACACATCTTTTCTATTTCTTTTTTCTTACAATTTTATACACAGATAAGACTGCTCTGTGAAATTATTGGACTACATTAATAAAGTCTGTCTCTCATGCTTTCTGATTGGCAGCAACCATTTTTGAACTGAATGCATGTCATTCTGCTGTCTCTCAAGGGTTTTCTACCTTCAGTTTGTATTTAAAATTACTTACAATGAAATCAGAATAAATTCTATTTCTATTATAAATTTTCTTCATGTTTGAATACTACCAATAGTGCAATTTGAATTAATGTATCTTAATTTAAAGCCTGGTTCTGATCACTTTCCACAGTTTCTTACTCCAGAAGCAGCTACAGTCAAACCAACAGGAACATATTTCAAGTTAGATCTCATTGGGTTCATATAAGGCATAATTTGATCTTTAAATATTTATTAATTTCAGCAGATAACACAATCACAATACATTTTTAAGGCAATCTAACCATGATGCTGTGTGGATTTTTTGTGTTGTTTTTTTGGGGGGAGCTGTTGTTTGGGGTTTTTTTTTGGAGGGTGGTCAGTTTGCTTAATTAAGAAGTTGCTATCCCTACTTCAGAAACATATTTTATTGCTCTGTTTGAAATATTTTGTCTCAGAGATAGTTTTTATAGCTACATAAGCACATTTTTCTGTCTCTATAGAAATGACTTAGAATGTTATATATACATACATATATTTTACCCTTCTTAACAGAACCTGCTAGTAATGATCTTCATAGTTTCCAAAACGCACAAAAGTCATGTCACTGCATTGACTAGAGCACAAATGTCACTTTTAAATGAAGTCCTGCTAAAAATAAACCAGACGTTGATTTACCAAAGTTTATAAGTGTAGCAAAATGACACATTTTTGATGGCAATATATGCAGGAATGGCAGTTGAACTGCACATACCCCATGGCTGGAAGCAAATATCACAAGCTGCTCATGACAGATTTTTAATTAACATATTTTGCCTCCTCCAAATAGAGTGGATGGTGTAAATCAAAGCACCTTCTCTGACTTCACGAGAGTACTGTCAATATGCTTCAGCTGAGGATCTGTCCGCCAGACCTGCATGTTGCACTCTGGGTTTAATAAAAGCATTGTATGCCTTAGCAAGCAGATCTAATCACACAGTCTGTCTAACTTGGCTCCACAGAGGCCAAGTTTCCTTAATACACAATGAGTATACATGAATGGTTCAATTCTATACTAATGAACAATAATAATGTGGGGCTATACATGCCCAAGATGAACAGACCTACCAATGTAAAACAGAGCCTAAAATTCTAAAATATATTTGTTTCACTGGAACAAAGTCAACACCCAGTGGTTGAGAACCAAGGTTTTATATCTGGACAAAGAAGCACACATAAAGCAGCACAAGCTCACATTTGGACAACAGTTTACCTGCTCTCTTATGCACATCCCTGTCCTTTTCAGACAGTACATTCCCCAGGAGGAACATTTACCTGTTCTGTAAAATCAGCATCTCACAAGCTAAAAACCCAAAACCCCTGCATGAAGCAGTTCACCTATGATGTAACCCTGCAGACCTACCTGCAGCGTTCATCACATGCCTTGTCACTTCTGCATCCTGCATTATGGTCAAGGATCACTTACATGCAGAAGGAGAGAACTCAACTTCTCCTCCTCCATCACCAGACTTCTTGGACCCCAATGCTGTATGTCTGACACAGAAACTGGTTGCAGCCAGCCTGCCAGGATAAGCAGAATCGTTCTTTTGAAGCCCTTGTATCAGGCAGGCCAGGAGGTAACAAAATCAAAGAAACAGGCCTTCTGGAAGTGATCAAACTTCCAGAGTTTCAGAGAATTTGGAATCTTGAATGACTATATATGATTTCTGTTTCAGTGAAAGTTTAAGACTGTTTGCAACAAGGACATTCTGTGTTAAATCTTGCACATCCATCATGCTGTCATACCATTCTCCGTAATCCCCACTGCAGCAGAGTAAGAAGATGGTGCATACTGCAAAAACATTGCAGAGTGCACAAATATGACCAGGTCTAGACTACAGTTTTGCCAGAATAAAGCATAATGGTTGTTTGCTGATGTCACAATGTTAGAAAAACCTCTAGTGGCCATAAATATATCAGGAAAAGGGGGATTCATTTAATGTAACATCTAGGGTTGTACTATGCTTGGAGCAGCTTCATCCATACATTAAGATTCTGCCAACACAAGTATGGTCTCACTTGTGTAGCATTTGTCTTTTGTCATCTGCTAGTATAGATGAATGTAATCCTATCAGAATTAGCCCTGTGACACTACTGATCTGTGCTAAGGGTTTTTTGTTGTTTGCTTTTTTTTTTTTAAGCCAGGGATATTTGCATACAACTCCTAGATTATCATTGTTGACCACTGGTCCCATAAGGACCCACAAATACAACCTTCAAGAATTAACAACGGAGAAGAAATTGAGCAAAGGATTTCAAATACAGTCTGTTAATCTCCCATACCCCAGGTAAACTACCTACCACCTTTGCTTTTGTTTTTCCTGCCTACTGTGGGGGTGTGGGGCTGTTAAAAGCAGATGACTAAAATACTTAGCTCCTCATTAACCTGTAGAATTCTGTTTAATGTGTCCTGCAGGGCTGTAACCTTAGCATGTCTAATGAGAAAGGCACAATATGAAACTCTAATAACACACTATAAAATGGATCTGGAGACAGGTACATAAACATCCATGGCTAATGAGGCTATGTTTACACTAGCATTTTTGTTCAGAGCAGGAGCAAAGTTTTCTTCCACACTCATCATATTTAACTTTATGTTATCAAGCTGTCTGTGAATACATGAACTGGACTCAAACTGAAGATGTGCTCCAGATGTGCACCTGAAGCGCTCTGACTAATAATGAGCAATCCATGGGATCAAACAGAACACAGTCCAAATTAACCCCCTGATATGCACATAGTATGGATTTTGAATCCTCAGGAACAGCTGTTTCATTATACAAATCTAATCCTATTTTTCCGTCCTATTTGCCAATATTATATGAGCCTAACTTACAAGCTCTGCCCAGATGTCCCCCAAAAATCCACTCCAACAAGGATCACAAAAAGGTCCTAGCCAACAGTGGTCCTTCAAACAGCATCAAACTACATGCCTGGCAGAAGCAAAGGACCAAACTATATCTAGTCTGATGTAAAAACCTGAAATTGTATATTATTTAGGTGTAGAGGCATCAGTCAACACACAACTTCATTCATACCCATTAAATGTCATTGATAAACATTTACCCTACTGAAAAGCACTGCATGAGTGTTCTGAATAAAACACCAATAGTCTGGCTAGGAAATTGGACTGCCTAAGAGACTGGCAAAAGAACTCCATCCTCACTAATTTTTAGCTACACTAGTAACATTAAGCTAATAATTTCTGGTTTCATCCTTATTTACCAGATTTCATATATTTACTCTACTCTCTCTTTCTGACACTTTCAGCACCAGCTGGTGATTACATTCTCCAGCTTTCTGTACATCACCGCTGATCTGACACCCATTTAAAAAGTTCCTCTCCTGATCTCAATGTTACATGTTCCAAACCAAGGGATTACAGCAAGAGAAGGGAGACTTCTAGGAAGTCAGAGTTCAGCTTTAACACTGACACCATAAGCGCTTATCATCATTACTGGATGACAGGAGATGATCACAACAGTGCTGTGTCAGTACATTACATCGGTTGTGGGCTATATTTGTCTACAAAGCCAACCTGAACCGAGAAAGGCTTGAACTAAACCATGTGCAGTTCTTGCCTGAGAATCAGCATTTGAAATAGCAACAACATCCTGAACACATCTGCATAGGACAGTTTGGTATTTACAAAGTGTGATTCCAGATTTGCACGGAGAGTAGTCAGAGTAACTGGAGAGCAGTCCTCAAGATCTAAGACATCTTGCTGCAAATCCAGAGGTTACTGTAAAGAGGAACCAAAATCCTTAGGAACAATTATTCCTGCTAGAATAATTAACACCCTTAGACAAGCAGCTCTCTTCTTTCCCTGAATATTTGCACAGAAAAACTAGCAATCCTATCAACAGTAAATATTACCATAGTCCAAGACTTGCCTGAATTCAAGTTGTCAATATTTGTCCTTAAGGAAGTGGTTTAGACAGGCAAGGCTGTTCTGAACTAATTTAAAGGCAGGAAGGCTTATAAATGGCATCTTAAAAGACTTTCTATGACTTCCTCCTCTTTTTTTATTTAAAAGATTTCACAAATAGCTAAAAGAAATAAAAAGGGGGAGGGGGAATAATCCGTGGATTCCTGTAACTACTGCTTCTGCCTTTCCTCTTTTCATAGTGTTACACTCTTACAACCTTCCACTACGGCTTTTTCTAATTTAGGCCTTAAACTTGCAACAAGTTCCCCTTGGAGTCCTGTGGAAGACTGTGTAGTTGTACACACATAAAACAGATTGGGCAACAGGACCTTGTAGTGAGACAGTGACTGGTTTTGTGTGTGTACCATGCCCAGCGCAACCAGGTCCTAATACCGCTCGTCTCCTTGACACAAGAGCAATACAAAGAATAGACTAAGTGTAACTCAACAAGGTGAGGGTGAAGCGATGCTGTTGTACGGGCAGTGGTGGCAACCACAGAGGTAAGACCAACAAAGGGGAGGAGAGAGAACCGGGATTACCTGCTGTGCCTGCTGCAGCAGCTCCATTCGCTCATGCAAGATCTGGCTGTCAAACTCACGGCTCTGCCTCAGGATCTGCCGCCGCACCTTCTCCACTGCAGCTCGCAAATCCTCCCTCTGGGCTTCGGTCAGCGACTCGCTTGCCCGCCTTCCTGGATCCTGTTGCAGGGCATTATACAGCGTGGCTTCCAGCTCCTGGATTTTCTAATGCAACCCAAATCACATACAGACAGGCTGCCATTTGAATCCAGCAAGCAAACAACCCACCAACAGCTAGAGGGGAAGGCTAGCAAGTGAAGACTTGGGCAGGAGGGAGGGATGGACACAGGCAGGTAGACAGAAAGCAGCAGTCGTGAGCAGTGAGGAGCATTCCACACAGAGTGCACACAGCCTCCCAGCACTGATTTACACCCAGACAATGCTTCCCATTCTAGTAAATGATTGATTTATTCTATTTAAGAAAGATTCAGATGATAGGTCTGCGTTCAATAAGTGATAAAATCCTAACTCGTGATGCTGAACATTACAAAATTAGTGCAAACCAACAGATTCCCTTCAACTGCAACTGAATTTTTAAGCCATCCTATAAAATAAAAAGCCCACAGGGAGAACTGTGAACAACAGAAATTTGACTTTCTCCCTCTCTCTGGCCCTACTGCCCTGTCATCCATTACTCAAAGTCTACATCACTGGCTTAGTTCCAAGTTGCCATAAGCAATGGAGAGAGGAACGCTTGTATGCTTGCATACACTAATCCCTCATCAGTCTCTTGCCATTTGCAGATTCCCAACCAGATTCTCATGCACTGACCAAAACTGCAGTACTTTGCAAAGCGGAGAGCGCAGGAGAATTTCACATTCACATGGAGAACTGCATTCCCAAGAGTAAAGAAAGGAAGGAAGGAATCATGGCAGTGTTTCCGTGATTATTGCGGTTAGTATGACCCTATTGAAAACCAGCATACAGACTGACGATACTTAGATCAACAGCATCTGACAACATCGCTTTAGCCCTCATAACACCTTTGTGAGGTAGGTAATTCTATCCATATTACTGATGCATAAACAGCTACACAGAGAGGTTAAATGGCTTGCCCAAGGTCACAGTGCTAGAAATAGAGCCTGCTTGCTTTTATCTCTGTTATCTGCTCTGAGCACCAGACCTTGCTTCTTTTCTGAAAATATTTTCCCCCTAAGAAATATTTACAATGCATAAATAATCCCTCAGGCCATTATGTTTTGATTTCCTGAAGTCTCACTATTAACAAAGTTGGGTGTGCAGTTTTACCAACTCCTAATGGCTGCTACGCCTGAGAGAAGGCAAGGTTGCAGCTTCCCATTTGAAAACTAGGAAGGGTAAGGTTGGATAGGACCACACAGGAAGGAATTGCATAGGAAGAACAGGCATTCCCAACTTAGGATAGGTTAGTAGCAGTAATATTTACAAATGCTTAGGGAAAAGTAATATTGGAAAAGTTCTAAAGTAATTTCTGGTGTATTTTACCAGTCATGGTCTTGTGCATGCATAAACCAGCTCTTCCAATTCCAGATGTACTAACAAGACGTTCACATATTTTAAAATAAAAAATGCAGTGCAAAAACATTACACTTCTAAATACTATAATCCATTTCCTAAGTCTCCATTTCAGTAATATTTGATTTCCTGGTCTGGCAGAAAAATAAATCAATTTAAAAATAACCCTATTTATAATTAAAAGAAAAAAAATAATTCTGTATTTTATCAAATCTGTTCAAACATGAAAATTTAATGACTGTTCTTTTCCTACCATGTATGCCTGGTCCAGAGCTTGTTTCCTGTAGTCGAGTTCTTCCTCTAAATAACCCTTCTGTTTACTGAACAGGTCCTGAGCAATAATAAAAACAAGGGAGTGTTTGTTCTTTATCCTAATTTGTGAAGAATCATAAATGCCGTCATTTATATGTAAGCTTTCCACTTGAAAGCAGAAGAAAATCTATAGCCAGTGACCACATTCACCCTAGGGATATTTGGAATATCAAAATTACAATATTAGCACTTGAAATACATGTGTCATATTAACGAGTTGTACCTGGAAAGCATAGACCTCTACACCAGTGTACAAACCTGCCTTGACCTGACAGAAGTGCACACAACAGCTGAAAGGTGAATAGGAATGTGCATGCATGTGGTCCAATAGCCATAACTTGCAGAGGGCAGGCCAAGGGAGAGAAGAGAGAAACACAAGTGAGGGCATTTTACGGCTTTTCTGAAAATATCGAATTTGTACCCTTAAGGAAATCGTGGGGCAAACCCTGACCTGTGCTGTTTAGCCTGTTCTTCTCTGGAGGAAGTCAGAACATGCAGGACTGCAGCTGGGTTCTCCAGCAGCATTCCCTGGTGCATTACTGATACAGAAGTAAAAACTCAGTTCTCACCTTGTAAAGACAGGAAGTCAATTTGAAATGGGTAAAGTGATGCCCAGAGAGGTTAAGTGACTAGCTGAAGAAGTTTTCAAGATACCTAGGATTTACAGGGATTTTTTGCTTTTGTTTTTAAAAAATCAAACTCACCATCTTTCACAGTATCCAAAAGCATGATACTGCAAGAAAGTCGTGGACATTTGAATGGTTGTCTGAATAGTCAAGTAAGACCTGACTGGTTACAGTGCTCTTGCAAAACATGCCTTTGGAGTGTTTTGGATGATAGTAAGTAGAACACAAAATAGTTACTTGATTTTATTAGCTTTTTTCAAGGCAGGTTTTCATGCTCAAAAAAATTAGTAGTAGACCAGAAAGCAGAGAAGCCCTTTGATTGAATTTAGTATTTGCCATCAAGTTTTTTCTATTCAACAAATGCTTGCATTTTCTCAACTTATAGAATAAATGTCAAATTAAATACATAGGGTTATTAAGATGATTAATTGTAGCTTTTATTGATAGTATAAAAAAATCAAATGTTGCTGCTCTGGTTAGTTTTATTGGATTGCCCCAAAGTCACTTATTTCGCCAAATTTTACCTTAACAGTCATATGTGTGGGTTATCAACAGTTTTGCTGTCAGTGTAGCACTGGCATACAATTTGTCTAAGCATGAACTATGATGATGAATTCTCACCCCAAACATCTGGTTTAAAACAAATCCATTCTGATCATCAAATTAATTCTTGGGAGGGGCTCAAAGGATAAAATGACTACAGATGACCTCCCACTTATTAAGAACAAGTCATATTTGGTGACTGCAGCAACATACAAGACCAATATTAGAGGACTCAGAGGAATAAGTTGCTATTTGTTCTCTGTATAAGAACTACTATACTTATTATTCAAGTTTTTTTTTTAAACTTGGAGTTCTTTTATTTACCTACGAATTAATATTGAAAGCAGAACCAAAGTTTAAGTCAGGCTTTGATCTTGGGGCTGGAATTCAGTTACCCACAGATGTGCATCTATTGCTATTACAGCCATTTTAGAGTATGCTACATAAGTTGCTGGTCCAGAAGGGCAGAGGTCTCCAACAGGTCCTGTAGGACATATTTCTCAGCCCTTTGTGGACATCTCCAGAAATCTGAAGAATGTAATATGGCATTAGACACCACGTTTATGCAACCGAATCCCACCTTGACTACCACGGTGGCATTATTTTCTTATGTGGATTACAGCAACAGCTACAGGGCTGTTGTACAAGATGGAATACCACTGTTCTCTGTGTAACGCATAGTAAAGGACAGGTGTAGTCCCAATGTGCTTACACCTGTCTGACACCAGAGAAGTAGACTGACTTGCCCAAGACTATAGAGAGGGTCAGAGCTACCAACAGATCCCAGAATAGCAGTGCAGCTGCTTGATCATGTTGCTTCCTCAAAAGCTGTTGTAAATGCTGGCCACAAAAAGTAAGAGGGAAGGAAATAAGAATAGAATCTCAAACTCTTAACAAGGGTTCCAAGGACAACTAAACCAGTGCTCAGCCCTCCTGAAAGTGTCATGCTAGAATATTATTTCTAAACTCATTTGAGTCAATCATTGGCAATGCAGACTCTCAGATTGCTATGCTAAACAAATAGATACAGGGTTATCTAAGAGTAAGACTTGAAAACATCACAGATAATAAGTGGGAAGATAATATACCAAGTTAGAAAGAAACTATTGTTTTCCAATTCCTTTATAAAAAGGAATCTAGTATTTGTGGGCACTTTCCCTTTCCAAAACCTTTGCATTTTTCCATAACAAGAATTAAAAATAAAAAAATACTAAATATGGAAAGGATCATACCCATGTTGAAGCACAACTAGTATGACAGGCTACACTTAAGAGACAACACAGCCTGAGCACTTCTTTTTTTGATTGTAGCCCAAATACACACTTCTTCAGTGGCCCTGGGCAAAACGCTTAACCTCCCTGCTCAGTTTCCCATTCTGTAAGATGAATGTAATGCTGATTACTTATCTACCTGTAAAAGGTGTGGCGAGGATTAATCAATATTTGTAAAGCCATTTGGAGATGAGAAGCACAGCATGCATGGTAAACCAATAAAACAATTTATTCCAAAATTCTTTGTTCAACATATGGAAAGAAAAGGTCAGTATAGCACTGAGTTTGTTATGCAAACTGCTTTTGAGGGCTGCTTTTGGGAAAACATTCTGTCTTTAAGCATGAAGACCTTGGGGCAAGAAAGGTTATCATCTGGAGTAAGAGGTCTTTACAACTTGTCCAGAAGCCGAATACCAGAGAGCAAAGGAATATCCTTCACAATTCTACTAACATGACCCCAAGATTAAAAAAAGATACTGTTGCCAGACAAATTAACACACAGAGAAATCACAAAGACAATTTCACACTGTTTGTCTAATACACTCTGTAAATTTATGCCTTCGTGTTCTAATTTGTATACATTTTGCTATTTTACTTCTATATAGATTTGACAATTCCCTCCTACCCCAAAGAACAGAAGCAATAAATTGTTCTAGAAACTTCTTGTCTATTTTCCCATGAAGCAATCTCTGTTAAGCAGAGAAAGGCTTCAAACTGTGATGAAGTTTATACACATTCCCTTGAGACGAGTTTTAGCTAAATGAACTATATTTTAGTTATTGTTCCTTACCTTTTCATTCTCCAGGTCTAACATCTTCTGTGTCAGCGCAGCTTCTGTCCCCTCTATCTGTTTTAACCACTACATGAACATAACAGTGTGAAGAGGAAAAAATATAAAATGAAAAAAACAGAGCTTTTGAAAAATTTGCACCAAACATTTTGCAAGTTTGCTGCCAACACTCCTAGGCATATGCTTCCCCTTCCCCCTTGCTATCTGTTCACTTTGAAGTTACACATGAATAAACAGGTTGTGAAAACACAGGCAGAATGGAGGACCGCAGACTAAAGACTAACAAGTGGAGGTTGTTTTCCTACAATAAATGAAAGATTTTTTGCCCTGTTAAGTTCAAGATACAAAATAGACTTGGGTCAAGAATGCAAAATCAACCTGATTGTTTCCAACTTGGTATACTGAATGCTTGTGGGCCTGATTTGCAAAACCATCATAAGACTTCAGGGCACCAGTCCTTCATTTTTCCAGATGGCAATTTAAACAAAAGACAAGGTGGCAAACTCAGTCCTTTATTTTGCACAGTTTGCTGGACCCTTCATGGGAAGAGGCTCACTTCCAAAACATCGGTAATGTAGAGGGAACAATAAAACAGATAGATGCAAGTTCATGCAGTTGCTACCATGAATCCCTTCCCATTCTGGTGATAAACAAAACAGTCAGAATGAAGAATGGTCATTGCATTCCAAAGGTAAAATTACATATTGTAATGGTTAAATGCATGGATAGAAGGTTCTTGCTTAATTACTAACCATCACCAGGATTATACTAATATTCAGCATTTAAGTTTATTGGAATAGATGGGAATGCTCAGTTCTGAATTGTTGTCTTTAATTTCCTTATTGGTCTACAATAAGGATCAATGACTAGCTTACAGAGAGTATAGTTTAGACTAATGCTTATTTTTGTAGTGCCAGCTCACATTAAGACCAACTGCAGCTTTGCCATTGATAATTACCACTTTCCTCCTCAAATGCTTTGCTGACTAACACTTAATTACTTCTATTTATTTTCATACTGTTGGTAAGCATTACATATCAACTTCTTTAATTTAGGGTTTTGGTGAATTCACTGAGGCTCAGACTCAAAGGAATTAACGACATATCCATTTTTTCCCAAAGATTTATATAGGAAATCTGCAAACATAAGTTTACAAATAAGCAAAATGTGAATTCATTACTTCCCCCTTTTGGACCTGCCACTATTTAAGAGACTGGTGGATAAAAATGGAAACTTGTTTTGTCTACTTAGTAGATTCAGCTTTGTACAGAGACGAAAAAAAGTGAACAGGAACACTGTATTCCCCTGTGATTCTATTTTCTTCATCTTTGTTTTCTTCATTTTGAAGGTGACAGACTGAAGATATTCCTAAGGAAAGCCTCGCCATTGATAAAGGATTCAGCAAGACAGTGAGCATTCTGAATCCTTGAAATCAATAGAAATGGGAAGTCCTCAGCATCTCTGACAGCTACTCTCAATATCTGCAAATGAAGGCTTATTTGCAAAAATTAGAGGTCTAATTTTTTTGAAGGTACGAATGATAAGCAAAACTAAATGTTGATTCTGATCTTCCTATGCCTGTAAGCCTTTCTGGAACCAAGGGGCACAGAAGAGACAACCATGTATTTAGAAGTCGTAATCAGTTGTAGTATTCAACACAAGCTTCTGGATTTGTGCCAGCAGAACCCAGAAACTTTCCTTGCCTGGCAGCTTGATTTCCAAAAGATCACTTCTAGTGGCTGAGTGCAATAGATTTGACCTAAATAAACACTGAGTGTGATTAATTAGCATATGTGAATATAACTAGCATAACATCTATGTTTGTAGTACCATTTCTCTACCAAAAGATCCCATTATGAGATTATTATATATGACAATTTCTTGTAATTAAGGAACTATAGCAATGCACATGGGAAGCTGTCTGGCCCTTATTTAGAGGGATATGGTTACATTACACTGGAGAAGGCACTGGAGTTGCCTTAAATTTCCTTTAATCTAAATTCAGTATATGCACCCAATAGAACTTATGTTAAAACAATCATCCAGTCTTACTTATCAGATTTTGTCTCATTTTGTCTGTGCTGTAAAACACAGTATTATGAAATGTGGCATCATGTTTCTTTTGTTAAGGACAGTATAAGACTATTTTCCATTATTCTTTGTCTTAGTGAACTTTGGTCATGGATAGTGCTTTCTGTTATGGAGAAAATCAGTCACTTGATTAGCCTGTACCTAAAATGTGTACCATGAAAAAGAGGAAAAGGTTTCATGCTTCTCAGAGTACCCTCTTGATTCAGTTTCCTGTCAGCTTGTACTTATTAGGTTACTCCAAGGCACTTCACTAAAATGACATAAAATGGATAGAGTCCATAGATAACATGAACTATTTTCATCTCATTCTTTAAATGTGGTCTATTTACCTATAGAAGATAAAACTAAAATCTTCATCTTTCTGATGGAGTGTTCAATTTCTGTAATAACCAGATTATATGATAATGGACTTTTATTTTTTTTTGTGGTCTTAAGGCAAATTAGGAACTGGCAGAAATTTTGTCAGAAAAAGAAAAAAATTATGTTAAATTAAATTATAGACCAACTTTAGCATAAATAAATGACTCAATTGTAATTGTATATTTCTATTCATTTAAGGAATTATTTCAGTTGAATATGATAAGACCACAAAAAAAAAAAATAAAAATCCATTAAGGCAAATTAGGAACTGGCAGAAATTTTGTCAGAAAAAGAAAAAAATTATGTTAAATTAAATTATAGACCAACTTTAGCATAAATAAATGACTCAATTGTAATTGTATATTTCTATTCATTTAAGGAATTATTTCAGTTGACAAAGCTTCTAATCCCTTATTGCTGGGATCAGTTGCTAATGGAAACAATTTCTAGATAAAAAAGTGTACATTCTATTCTGCACCACTCTGACACAAATTAAACAAGCTCACTAATTCCCTAAATTATTTGAGCAATGATAACCCAATCCAGTCCCTAAAGTTTGGCCAGTTTTGCTCTCTATCTTAGCCTTGCATACTGACATTCTTCCACTGTCCTTGTTGGATGTAAAGGGCTATGTTCATCACCTCCTTTTTTTAATGCTGTAACGCAATGAAAAGCGTAGGGGTTATAGCGCTTTTCCCCATTTTTATTTTGCTTGTAACAATTACTCACTTAAATCAGTTATTATTAAATGACCTAATTTACATTATGTACATTAAGATACATACATAAGTAAAGTATCAAAATCATACCAATTAAAACAATTATTACAAAACGCTTAAAATTTAATTTTAAAGTTCTGATTCTAAATTTCAAAAGTGCATCTAGGAAAGATTTAATAGAAACCTATGAAAAGGACAGACAAAAGTTTTTCAGAGAAAAAGGCAAGTCTTTCTTAGTTCTAAGTGTTATCATTTTTCATATACAGATTATATTCTTTCTGTAATTAGAAGACTAAGGAACTAATGCAGAACTGAGTGATCTGACTGATTATCTGTCTTATACAAACTACCTTTTCACTATCTATACCCAGTAATTTATGGAGGAAAGGACTATAGACCATTCAGAGCTTTTTCAGTCATACACAGAAACGGGCCCAAAATGGACCATGGTGGTACGACTTACACAGGACTTCACAGCACCCTGTTCTCAGAGAGCTGAGGGCATTGGCACTTCTGAGAATGAAGTCTATTTTGTTGAGTGGCTTTTTAGTACTTAATTCTAAAGTAGTATCACCAAAACTTGGTTTTATTTTTAATTTGGGTTTATTTTATAAGTTTTATTTTACCTCAAGACATCACAATCCCAAAAAGCCATGTAAGGATGAATACATGCTCCTATTCAGACGATTTAACAGAAAAGCCATGCTTCCCTGTCAAAGTTATGTGATACCTTAGAAGACATGGTCAGTCTTTAGGCAGTGAAAAATCTTTACTGAATTCTACCTTTTCACAGAGGGAAAGCACAGTCCCAGCTTGGATTATTGCAACCTGTTCTTCATTTCTCAAATTCTAAAATACAAAAAAATGTATTTTAAATTGGATTAGAAATCCATCCTTCAACACAAGTGATAAATTTTAACTGTACTTTAAAGAATAAATCAGCTATAACATTTAGCATTTTATAAACATGCCCAGAAAGGATCCCATGATTGAAAGTATTAAAAGCTAAACCAAGGGTACTCAGTCTCCACTCTATTTCAGTACATCACTTTCACACTTTTGCAACAGTTCATTATTGAATGAAAATTAAGTGGTTTCTGTCAGGGATTTTGATTTTTCCTTTTTTTTTTTTGTTTTTCCTAGCCAGAAAAATGCCAGTTCACTGGACTATAGCCCCGCAGCACGTGAATTTTCCCCTCATGCAGTTCAGATCTAGACTTCCCAGTAATGAAAACAATGCAAAGGAAGAGCAAGTACAATAGAAACCTCCCCAGAACTTCCAATATAAAAAGTAAATCTAGAGTTTAAAACTAGTATTATAAGGCCTCCAGCTGTTAGAGCTACCTTTAAAGTAGACTCAGCTCCATGGATGTTTGTGACCAAACCACATGACCAGAATTTTAAACTATATTTGTCAACACAGGAAGAAAGGGAACCAGTTATCCTTGCCCTTTTCTTCCAGAAAATCCATTCCTGGCGGAGGCATCCTTCGCAGTAGTAGGTGCCACTATTACTACTCAAGAGAAAAAATTCAGGAATAACTTGGTCTGGTTTTGACTTTCTTATTTTTCTCCCCTAGTCTGTTTTATAGCTTTTCACTCTGCCTACTACAGTGCCTTTTTTCCATGTCATTAAGCCAAGATCAAATCCTATCTTGAGAAAATACACTTTTCACTAGCATCAGTTTAACTGAAAGATTTTCTTTTAAGTTTTGTAAAAGTAGTATCTAACTATTCATATTGTTCATACAAATATAGACATATAAAAATTACTCTGTGCATTTTCTTGAATGTTATTCTCTGCTGTGGGAAAAAAAATGTTTTAAAATAACCATAACACTAGAGGTATATTTGAAATTAAAAATTTGTTACCCCATTATCTCCAAGAATATCTAGCTTCTTCATAAGTTCAGATATATTCACATCCTGAAAAAGATGTTCAACACTTGTTTTTTATATAGTAGGTGAGAAACAGCTTTTATATGCTACATTTTATGTACCCTTTATTCACTTCTGCATGCAAAAGGACTTGAAATGTAAATAAGTGAAACATTAGTTTTGCATCACAGTTACAAAAGCGTTATTGATACTTTCAGAGACAAAACCAAATGTCACTCTTGACTATAGCAAGCAACCTGGATGTCTATGTATGAGGGCAGAATGTTCCTCTATGATTCACATTTACCATCCTGCTGATGTATGAAGATCGAAACTATCTGATAAACAGGCTTAAAGGACTGTTTTTTTCTGTTTGTTTGGAGTGGAGCATCAAGCACATCAAGCTACAAAAGTTAAAATGACAGAGAACATGAACAAAATAATTATGAAGAAGGTTTGTTGGGTGGTTTGGTTTTTATTCTCTTGGTTAAACAGGAGCGGAGTTTCAAATCAGCCTTACAGTGGAAAAAGAGAATATGCATAGTGGGCTGGACATGCTTCTCCAAACACTATCAGCTCACAACCTTTCTGAGTAGAAAGCTATGTTTCTCTGCCAGTCAGCCTCCAGATCCTCAAAATCAGCGAACAGCCCATCCTTATTAAGGCCCAGTCACTGAAATCAAGAAAAACGCTCCTCTGATACAAAAAAGAGAGGAATAAATTCACACAATGTCTGTATTTTACATAGGGCCAGGGGGAATTCCTAGGCCCCAGAACTCTTTCTACTTTAAAAAGTTGTTGGAAACGTTCATGGAACTGTTTAACCTGCACTAATCACACTCTCCTGAACTAGCCCAAGTATAGTCCACAAGTTAACGTGGACCAGGGAACATTCTCATCAACAGCCTGTACGCGGCCATGCTATTTAAAGATAGGAAGGCTTGAGAGCATGGGCAAAGGCCAGCTTGTGTTAGTCCAAAATGCTTAATACACATGCATAAAGCAAGACAGCCTTGCTAAATGTTGGCACTCTCAGCTTCTACTCATGTTCAGCACTTCTTAAAAGAGGCCAACATTTCACAGGGCTGTGTCTTGGCTCACTGGTTTCATTACTTACAGTACATGATGTGCTGGTTTACACCTATGTGTTGTTCAGCTGCATTATGTGGGTAGTCAGGATGATCAATCTTTAAATTTTTTTAAAGCTGACTTAGCTATGCTTACAAATTACATAACTACACCAGAATATATTTGTTCATGATTATGTACCTAAAAGACTCCAGTGAGGAGGCTTCATAAGAAATGAAAGATTTCCTGAAGACCAGACACAGATGTGGAAGAGAATCTACAAATTAATCTACAAATTAGTCCATCCTGGCTCCAAAAAACGAATAATGTGTTGTGTTCAAATTGGTCTATCCTGAGCAGTCCCCTCCCTCTCTTGTCTCTCTCCCCAAACACTTCAGCAGTGTCTCCAAATGTTATGTTAGCTATTAAACACTGCACGTCAATAATTTAGAATGGTGTGGAGCTTAATACACACTTGTGTTTGGATCAGTGTTAAAACTATTCTGATCAACATTGACAATGTTGAACGGAAACTTCTTTAGCTGATCAGTTACACTAGTGAAGAATGGAATTCAGTAAGACATGCAAGGTCTTGCACCTGTTGAGCCAGAAATACTCATTGTAATTCATTTATTTCCATGATAAAGCATATAGAAAGATTTAGAAATCAAATCAGATTTTGCATCGTTCTAGAATCTAATTTGCTACTGATGGCTAACAATTTCAAAAGACACCGAAAACATAAAAAATCAACAATTTCAATATGCCCATATTAGGTGACTGTCCCTGCTTCTGGGTAAGGGAACTGAAAGGCAGATTGAAAAAAAACACCTATGTTTAGGAATGCAACAGAAGACAATGGAAAAAATATGAAATCTAGATCCTGGTAAGCTGTACCTGCTATGGCCAACATGCAAATTAGAATAACAGATAAGCTAAAAAGCAGGTCTGGCATCCCATGGAGGCTCTATTTGAAAGGTTATATGCCAACTGATGACTCTTGGTGTGGTTTGGGAAATGACTACCCAAACTTGTAGGTAAGAATCAGGTTTTAACTCTTTTTTAATTTTAGATTACTCAGCTCCCTAACAATATGCAGCCTACAATTTCAGTTTATTTCCACTACAGATAGCATCGTGCTTATTAATACACTCAAAAGAAACAAGCTTTCTATAAGAGGACTTGTAAACGCAATTACAAATACAAGCATAGATTACTAGTGAGTGCCATGGAGTATAACTCACAGATACTCCACTGTAGTTACTTGTAGAAAAGTTACCCTGGTCTGTTGTGCAACATTACTAACAAAGCAAGCCTAAATTCAGTCTGAAGTGAACCAGCATGCAAATTAATTTGTACAGCTAACCAATTCAAGGGAGAACAGAAGTGAAGAAGAGGAATTCTTGGTTCCTCATAATAGAAGCCAACAAAGTGAGATCCCAATGTTTATCTTGTGCTTGACATGATAGATAGTGTCTCACCTATTCGAATGAATTTTGAATCAGGTGTCTCATGCTGGCCTAGGCAGATAACTTAAGCATGTTAATTCAATAAACAATATGCAAAGGTGCTTCACTAAATTGGGTGTAAAATAATAAGTGAATGTCATATTTCTGACCTTAGATGAAAAAATTTAGTATCATGAACAACGTACTGTAGCAAGCCTGACAATGAATCACATCAACAGCCACATTCTTCTCTGCAATGTTTTTACAGCAGTACCCTAGACTAAATGTAAATTATCGTGATTGACTAGCCTTCTTTTTTATTGATGAAATTCTGACAGACTACCAGATCATATTCTTAGGAAACCTTTTCCCTAGTTAAAAATATCTTTTCTTACTATATTTATTTTTTCAGATTTTCTTCCTTATAGCAAGATGGCAAAACATTTGTTTGGATATTGGGTTGGTCATTCTGAAAAAGTTCCTGGCCATCCAACTGTTATTAATACTCTACATATACCTTTATTCCTTCCTGTTGACAGAACAGTTGAAGTGCACTTCCATTGTTTTCAGGGAAGGTGGTTATATGAAGATTAAATGCCGGCGACCTTCGTTCTCTCTCCTGAGGAAAGATTTTGTTTAAAGACAACATGTGTGATTATATATAAATATTTATTTCCCACCTTTACAAAGCATACTTGTACATTAAAAAGGCAGATTCCTATTCACATTCCAAAAATATATGGTATTTCCTCTTACTTTCACCATATTTGAAGGATTTTGTCTTTAGCTAAACACAAAAATGGTGTTAGCTTCCAACTGATTCCATGCACACAGTTTCTGCAAAGTTAATTGACACTCTGCAGATGCAGGAGCCCTTGCACGCTGGCCAAATAACTGACTGGAGCCCTAAAATACTCTGCTGGTTTTTATGTTGGTTATAACCTTATTTAGCTATTGTTTTCTTTCAAGGAACAAAGAACAATTTAGGAAAAAGAAACTGCAGAAAAAAATTTAAACTCCATCATGAAATAGTGTTATCACTGAAGATTTTCTCAATAAAATTAAAACTGTATATCTGCTCTCTGTTTATTCTACAGTTAACTTTTCTATTAGAACATGTAAAATCCCCAGTCCTATTCACTGCACAATCCAAGACATCGGAACATGTTGAACGCAGCACTGCTCTATACTTACGATGTTCTTTGTGCAAAAACTAAAACTTATAAATTCCCATTAATCTAAAACTATAGCATTTCTAAAAGTTTTCCGGCCCACCTACTTGGCTTTCATGTGTTTCTTCAAAATATCAACCCATTATTTCTTCAGAAGACACAAATATAGCAAAACAATTAAAAAAGCGATTTTACTTTCATTAAATTTTAACATGCTTGTGAGAATGACTGGATTGAAGGCTCCAGGCAACCAAGGCATTGGGTCTTACTATGAATTCTCTGTGGCCATGGGAACACAAGTGAGGAAAATCAAGATTTCCTCTCCATATTACAAGAGGAGGCATGGACAACAGTTTCTGACCGTACAATGAAAGAGAACTACTGCAAATATTTTAGTTCCTATGACCATCCATGCATTGTCCCATTTTCTAAATCACAAAATGAGGTGCTTTAATTGATATGGCAAGCAGGCTGCATCCATTCATTTAAGCAATTTACAAAGCATGGCAACTCTTGTTCATTAACTAGCTTAAACCTAATTTGAAACTATAATGTAGAGGGAAAAATTTCTGTACTCTATACATTTTCCCCCCTCATAGGCTCTATTTTAAATAGTATTTGCATTAAGTCTGATTTTGAAAGGGGCTTAAATGACCTAGCTGTTGTAACCCAAAATCAGAAACATAATTCTTGTCCAAATTCAGTTACCATTCTAGATTTTTTTTTTTTTTAAAAATAATCAGTTGCTATTAAACTCACCTGAATTTGCTTGCATTAAATGATAAAAATGGTGGTGTTTTCGACTCTAGCCTAATTTTCATCCAAAGTAATTTAATTGCTCTCAAAGAATACTGTCCTGATTACCAGAAGTGTTCATGATGTTACTAAAGCATTCATATTGTCAGTCACATTTGTGTCTACATGCTTGCCTACCAAAGAAAAAAACCTTTTCTTGCAATCACACAAAAATACTTCCATTGTTATTCCATGAAACAAGCCCTTAAAGATTTATCACATGACAAAACCTGACACATTACACTGAACTATTTTTCATGTGATTCTTCCTTGTGAAAAATACATTCATGAAGGATGTATTGAAGAACTCTTTATTGCCCTAAGAAAATTTTTCAGATTGTTTTACTCCTGAGAACACTTAAGACTTTAGAAAGCAATTACTAGTGTAACTGCCAACTCAAATGTTAAATTGTTCAGTAATTTACTTTACAGTTGCTTAATAAAATATCAAGATGTATTAGAAAACATGTTTATTTTCCTGAACATCTACTGAAATTCTAATAACCTGAATTAATAATTTTGAATATAATGGGCTATGACATCAAAATATATGGTTGATAAAGGATTAAAAAAGATTAAGAAATGTCAAAGACGAAAAGCAGAACATCCACATAACAGGAAGACATGACATTTTCATCTTTATCAGAGAAGTTAAACATGCCAAGATTGTTGGTGAAACGTGCTGGGTGATGAAAATTATGGAGGAGTGACGACAGGTTTCTTGGAGAGTTTATTCTAAATGGTGTTAAGAATGCTGATGATCTTTGAAACTGAACATGTTATCAGGCAGTACAACTGTGTGTCAGCTGTGCATCACACACAACTAGTTTACTGTTACTAAATTCGACATAGGCCCCATTTACAAGGCGATGAGAACTATTGCTTTCTACTTAATCACAGGCTACATATTCAAATTGCTATTAACAATTTCACTGTTATTTCATTTACGCAAAGTATAGAATTTATTTGGTATGGGCAACATACTACTTTCACGTACAGCAGCTGTACTTGTGCTTCACCACTTTAACTTTGACATTCTCAGAGGGTTTGGGTTTTTTTCCTTTTTTCATTGACTGAGGCCAATTATTTCCAGTCCATGGCCATTTTATACCATCAGAAAATGGATTTCAGGTAAGAGAAATTCTTTCAAAGGTGCTATGAAAATGTGTTCTTTTAAGATAATTTTACTTCATATTAATTTTGTCAATCTTAAATCAATGTAATTAAAAGCAATTATACATTGATGTGATGGATGTGTCAGATCTTTAGTCAGATCACTGCATGCAAGATGTGAGAAGGTGTGTTAATTTAAACAACGCCAAGCAAGGCTGTAGTATACATACCAAGTGACTTTTTACATGCAGGAAAGGAGCAGTTATGGAAATGAAACAAATAAAAAAGGCAAAATATTGCAAAACAAAATATTTTATTAGATGAAAAACAAACTATATGCAATATGTATTAGCTATATTACATCTTTATAGACATTAGTGAGCACTCTCTCCAAAACATATTAAGGCAGTGGCATCAATTTCATTATCCCAAGATACAACATTTAAAAAATAGATACCTAAGTGATTTCCCTTAAACATGCACCAGACATCAGTAATCTTTACAGGAATTTCAGCTTGGGTTCAAACATAATTTCTGCTCCATTTGAGAGTTTGCAACAGAGAGAATCTCTTACTTCAAGCTCTAGCACTCTGAATTCTAACAGCTCATTCTGGTCTTTTGCATCTTGCATCTCATTCTTCAGCTGATGCTCTTCTTGTTCCATTCTGTAAATCTATGAGACAAACACAACATCACAACACCCCATAAGCAATAGAAAAGATACTCTACAGAGTTACAGGCCAGTGGTTTAGACAAAACTGTTAATTGTTTCAGTTTCTCATTAGATGTTGGGCCACGTCTTGGAGATAAAGAAGGAACGTCACATCAGAAAGTATTTGTGAGAACTGCCAGCAGAAAATGGTCAATGTTCTCTTAGAATAGTAATCTGGAAGTAGTATGAGAAGAGATATGAATATTATATCTAAATAAGTTAAGGAATACAAGCTTCCTTTTAAAATCAAGTGGTTGAAACTGGATTTCATTAACATTTGGGTAGACGGTTCTCATTGTCTTTGTATAACTTGACATCTACTCTTATACAGTACATAAAAGACAATAGAGGGGTTTTAATGCCTATTTTTAATTTTCCAAATTTGTGTTTTGGGGCACTAACAATGACAAAATAGAAATTCAAAACTGTCTATTCATTACGCCAACTAATAGCTTTATTATTAATGGGATGTTCTATTATTTAACTGGGTGATCTTTTTATTTGTATGAAACTAAATAGAAGTGTAGTATCTGGCATAAAGTACTATAATGCTTATAATACCCATGTAAGTATCTGAACAAATGAAGCCCAGCTGTAGCTACTTTTATTCATGAATTTTTCTTTGGTTATCTTATTGCTATTATATTAATATTGAGCTACTAATTAATAAAAATAATTCTTTGACTTCCTGAGTACTAGCTAACTTTCCCACCAATATCAATGAAGAACAACGAGGATGCTCAGCTCTAGGTATCTCTGACAGTAAATGATACAATAGCCTTACATTAATCAGTATTACTTCATGTGTGGAAAAACTGTAAAAAATGGAAGGCTGAAGGGAGCAGGCAATTTTATTAGTGATCAGGACAGTAACAGTCTTTGTGTAGTTGTTCAGAAAAATACAAGAGTTCACACTATGCTTAATTTTTTAGATTGTATTTTGTTGGGCACTGGAAACATCAGTCAGCTTGAATTCTACTATTGGCAATACAACTTGTAATTCCACAATAAAGAGCACCTTCCATTCATAAAGAGTACAAAAGCAAAGCGGTACTTTAATCAGAGACTTTTATCCAAATTTCTGTTTCTGGAGAGAAATAAAGTAAGCAATTTTCATGTCAATGTTCCAGTACTTAGTACATTAATTTCCTTTTACCATTCCTTTTATGATAAAGGGCAGCAAATGTGAAAATATTCCCAGATTCTGAGCACGTACCTTCTCTAGCAATTCTTGATTTGTTCTGATTAACAGTTGCTTTTCTTCTACCCATTTTGAATCCTATGAGGAAGAAGAGGATGAAAAAGATTAAGATTATATATATTTTGTTAAACAAGACAAATGAATGACCACCATAGTTAGAAGATTTCAGACATCGTTGTACATTCCAGTATAAAAATGGTCACACATCAAAAAATAAAGCTATCATAAATATTTCAAGGATAAATAGCTTTTTAAACTACAGAGAAAATAAAAGTTCCTTTCTTTTCCTGAAGCTGAGTCTCTTGTTTCCTAATATGATCCAACTAAGCATGTACTTTAAAATCTTTACATGTAGCAATTGTGGGTGAACAGAGTTATATGATATTTTATGTCATTTTAGAAACATTTATTTACTCAGCTTAACTCACAACTATTTCTTTCCATTGCAAAGAGTTGGGAACTTTCTTGCAAGATCATCCCATTTTGAGTGGTGTAATGCAAATCCCAACGGAGAAAGGGAAGAAAAACATTCAATTACCCTAAATGACTGAAAATAAGCTTCCGTGGTATGCAGTTAATCGCTTTCTGCTAAAAGTGTGAGAATCAGGCTAATACACAGTGTTTGTGACAAGGAATTCAAGGCTATGGAGGAAGGGAAGTGGTAGAAGATATTCTATACTCCATTTGAAAATTTTATTTACATTTGATCACTTGTTCCAAACCTGCTCTTTCCTTTTAGGTTTTTCCATGGCTTCAAAAGGTCTCACCAAATATCCCTTTAAAAACCCAAGCTACAAAAACTCACTGCCAGCCATAGCTGGACATTCAGATTTAATGGATTACAACAGCCAAATTCGCTCTGTTCTCCCTGTAGAGAAAAGTATTTACATAACCTAGCTCATACTGCTCTAATAAGTTTAATAAAACAATATCCAACACCTACTATGTCATACTAAATCTAGATCAAACTGTTTTCTAGGTAAAAAGGACAATTTATTAAAATCTAAATGTCTTCAGTAAAGTATTAAGGCTGACACTTTCCTTGTCAGCAAGGTATTTCCATGTTGATGCTGCACAAGAAATTAATGAAATCTGGATATCCCAGCCCATTAACCAGCCTTGAAATGGCAACCAAAAAAAAATCTAAAACATTATGATATAATATTTAGTCCAATAACTAACTTTTTTGAAAAAAAGTTTTTCTACCTACTGTACACTATAGATTGATATTCTACTGTTCTTTCTCCTTTTCCCATTGATATACAAGAATGTGCATTTTAACTTTCATGCAGTGAACAAGTTCTTCAGGGTTATGATTTTAAGTATCATACTAAGAATAATATACTAAAATGAGTACAGAAGAGGCATGACATTTGTCAAGAATTTTTGAAACTAAATAAATGTTGAAAATAAAACACAATATCTAGTTTAACATTTAACTAGCATTTTACTAAGGTCAAGGAATGAACAGAGTTGCATGCACAGATTAAGCTGGATATCCCAATGCATGCATATGGCAAAAGGCAGGTTCAACTGTTACATTAGACCTGAAGGTTCAACTACTCCAGTTCACAAAGTAGAAAAAATAGATTGATTTGCCCTATTGATAATTAACTTTTGTGTCTTTCTTGATGAAGTTCACCTCAACTTTCTGAGAAAACCTGAACTCCAGTGTAATTGTGTTCATATACACACACCAGGTCACTCAAAGCGTTGAGCATTCAAAAAAAAAAAAAAAAAAAAATCCATCTGGCACACTACATACCGCAATATTTTGAGATTTATTATTCACCACTTTTGATGTTTAATAAGAATTTCTTCTCTTAATATAAGGTTTCTTATGCATGCACCTCGATTTACCTTGCAGAAATGGATTATTAGTCTTATTTTACATCTAGGGGAATTCTGACAGATCGAGCTGATGAGAGATTAACAAGAGCCATTGACACTTAGTTTGAAATTACACATAAATTGTTATAAGCCAAACTTTAAATAATTTTTTAACAATAAGATTCTAATCTCCTACGCTGAATTTGACTTCAGGAAAATTGTGAAGGTCGTTGCTGCTTCTGTTTCCCAAAGCCGTGAAGTAAGACTAAAAATTCCTGGGATAATACACTGGGATCTTTTGATTCGTTGTTTCCTTTTTAAAAGCACTTTAGGGACCAGTTCCCCAAATGAACATTTCACAAGCATTGTTAAATCATCATCACTATCATGACCATCTAAATGATAAAGTAATAATTTTAAAAAAAAAAAAAAAAATCACATAGTGCACAAAGAAGTCAGTTTATCATCACAACCATTTATTTTGTTGAATGTAAATACTAACAGGTCAGGAGAATTAAGCAGGTGCTAGAGCTCCCAGGAAGACATCGTGACCACTTCTGTGGAAAGCTAATGCTCAGTGTACAAACTAGCCCACTAGAGACAATATCATATTGCTCCTTGTCACATCCCTGTTGGCCTTCTCAGGATTACTAAGAGATACAAGGTTGGAAATGTAGTTATGAATCTCATATAGTAATAACTAAATAAATTCAAATTCCAGGCATGCCTTTTTGACATACCATTCTGGAAGCAAAATCACAGAAGTGATTTCTTACGTGGGTATCCATGTTCATTTTTCTTATTTACATACACAGTACTTACATTTTACACTGTAATAGTGAACTATTTTGTTAATGGTTTCAATTACACAGCAATTTGCCCACAACACCTTTATCATCAACACACAGTAGATCAACATCAGCAGTAGATCCTAGAGAGGTCTTCAGTCTCATTTATACTTCCAAAACCTCAGTGAGCCATCATTTTTAGATTGATAACATATTCTCTGTTTTTAGTAATATTTTATTTACATGGAATTTACTAAGCAAACTCTAGTTTGTGTGGAAGCTAGTATAAACAATTTTTATCCTTAATTTGAATATCGTCCCAAACCCTTTGTATTTATACAGAATCTTACAGAAAAAAATTTTCTTACAAAGAATAAATCATAAAAATAGTAATAACATTTACTTGGCATTATTTTAGGTTGTTCTTATTCAATGCTACAGGATCATTAATCTTTGAAATGTATATCTATAGATAGCTATATCTTATTCTATTACCACACGCTACCCACAATCTTAAAATTGTTATTTCAAACAATAAAGCATAAAATAACAACACCCCAATTTTCTCAGTGCGTTCTAGCAGTTATGCAACTGAAAGTCTTTTAAATGCATTCTCATAACTCTTAATCAGCATTCCTGAAGACCCTAGACGTTATCAAATATGCATTAGCAGCCACATCTTTGCCAAGTATTTACAAGATATACTGAAGCATAAAGCCTAATTTTACTCTGTGTGATGGTACAGGAATTTGAAAGCAGTTGGGTCCTCCGAGAATTTAAGCCCAGGAGAGTAACACTCAAGCAGCTTCCAGTAACCAGACACACTCACTGGTTCGTCGTTCAAGCAGAAGCATGTGTGGAAGTGATTTAGTTCTTGAAATTTTTTATGCTACATGCCAAAAATATTCTCCAGTACAAATATAGAATATTTATTTTATTGGAATTTATAGCAGATATAAACAAAATGGAAAACAGGAGAAAGGCCTTCACCAAATGACCGTGGGAACAGAATTTACAATGCATGTACGTGCAGTTATTTTGATATTATGCTTTAGTGTATTGTGTGTTAGAAAACTAATCTTTAATGGCATTTTCTTAACCTATATAATACTTTCCTTTATTTAAATAATCTATTCCTGAAGTAGCAATTAGGCTGCAGCACTCACACTAACACACCAGCAAGTAATGAAAATGGCAAGGGCACCACTGCATGCAAGGGAGACAATGATGTGGTAGAGGACATTAAGAGAGCTTTTTACCTGTCCTTTCTCGATTAGAGCTTTCTCCAGGTCCTCAATTTTTGCCTGACACCTGAGAAGATCAGCTTGCAGTTGTTCACGAGTCTGGGGAAAAAAAGGTATCAAAAAGTGTGTGTATATGCACGTACATCCAGGTAGACAGGAGATTTAATTACACACAGAATCAAAGTAAAGATACTTTCTACCATTTATGGGCTGTCCAGTCAGCTTTTAATGCTTTTTATTAAAATAACTGCTTTTGTGTTTATGTTACAAAATATTTAAAGCTATCAGTTTAACAGCATTTTTCCTTCCTAGCCTAAGAAGATGTTATCATCACATATTCAGTGACAAAACTCTTCGGAGGGGGGCGGGGGGGGGGGAGTTAGGAACTGAAAGAGCTCATAGAAGCTATTCAAAAGCTTTAGTAATTCAAGGCAAATGGGGAAAAAACTGACAAGAGAGAGAGAGAATTGCAATAAGCAGTGAAAAGGTCCTATATGTAAATAAAATACATTGACTCAAAATAATTTATATATTCCATAAACAGCATACGCCAGCCAGTTTTACTCGTTCTACATGAAGTTAGGAACTGAAAGAGCTCATAGAAGCTATTCAAAAGCTTTAGTAATTCAAGGCAAATGGGGAAAAAACTGACAAGAGAGAGAGAGAATTGCAATAAGCAGTGAAAAGGTCCTATATGTAAATAAAATACATTGACTCAAAATAATTTATATATTCCATAAACAGCATACGCCAGCCAGTTTTACTCGTTCTACATGATTACTACACTATTACAAACAGTTAAAAAATTCCCACAGGGATTTTTTTCTGCATCTTTGTATCTTTGGGTCCTTGTTTACCTTAAGCATCATCTAAAAGTAACAGGAAATGTTCATCCCACCAGAACATTGGGCCCTACAAAACTAACCATGCAAAAAGCTACCTTCTGACTCACTTGAAAGATGGATTTGCATGGATGTGACAAAAGAGACCAAAATGCTATTAAAAAGAAAGAGCAACAATTCCAAAGTGTACTAAAGGGACAGTTTGCACATGCCTGCAAAATAAAATTTAAAAAAGCTATTACAAAAATATTCATACCAAGGTCTCCCCTCCCATGAAGGTAAAGGAAATATATAATAGTTTCTCATAACTGTCAAATACATGACTGCCTCTGAAATCTTACTTTAATAGTAGATGTAATTATGTCCCCCACCCCAATTCTAGCTTGAGAAGTAATCTCCAAAGTCCTTATTGCTTTCCTTGGCTAAATGTCCTACTTAAAAAGAGAGTGTCAAATGTGACTAGGCTTTTGTAAGATGCTGAGAACTCTAACAAATAAAGCCATAAAGCAATAATTCTACTACTGTAAGAACTGTATTTCACAGGAAAAAAAAAAGTTAAGGTTGGTTGAGAGCCACTTCAAAGAACCTTGAAAAAAAACACCAGACCAAAACATGACACATTTTAAAGTAAACTCTGAATCTTCTAAATACTGGGTCTGAGGATAATAGACTAACATTTTTAGCTGTTAATAACTCCAGATAATGTCAAGCAGTCTACATTCTTCTGTTACTTTTATCTGGAAAGCTTCACTTATTAATACACAGAAATTCTGCTCTCACAAGCATACTGTTTCTATATCCGAGAATACTCAGTAAGTGGATTTTAAAATGCTTGCCAAAGAAAATGACATGGAAGAAATTGTGCACATGTATTCCTAATAACGATCAGCAGTCTAGTAATATAGAATTTTGTGAATATTTTATTAATTGTTCTAAGCAGTGGAACCATTAAGCTAGTGGCAGCTTCTACCTTTGGAATAAATCAAGTCCATCCCCACCAGTAATTTTTAAACCACATCAAAATCCTTGTCTTTCTGCATTATTAGCAAAACATTACAGTAGCACAATACAATGAAGGCCACACATAATAAGGCAGTAATATGTAATAATTCACAATATTTAACAAATTTCTCTATTTTGGGGGTTACAGGTTTGGGTTTTTTTGGGGGGGGAGGGGAAGTAGGTTAGGGGTTTTTATAATGCTTAAACACTTTTTAGAATCACAGTGCTACTGAGGTTGGAAGAGATCACCTGTCCAACTCCTGCGCTCAGAGCAGGGGGACACCTAGAGCAGGTTGTTCAAGACCTTGTCCAGTGGTGTTCTGAATATCTCCAGGGGTGATATTCCCAGCCTCTCTGGGAAAACTGTTCCAATGTTTGACTGCACTCAGAGGAAGAAGGGGTTTTCTTATGTTTACATGGTATATCTTGTGTTTGAATTTGTGCCTGTTGCATCTTGTCCTTTCACTGGATCCCACAGAGAAGAGTCTGGTTCCATCTTCTTTACTCCCTCTATCAGGTATTTACATACATTGATAAGATACCTCTGAGCCTTCTCTTATCCCTCTTATCCAGGCTGAATAGTCCCAGCTCTCTCAGCCTCTCCTTGTATATCAGGTTCTCCAAGCCCTTAATCATCTTCGTGGCCCTTTGCCTGACTCTGTCTCATATGTTCATGTTCTTCTTGTACTGAGGGAGCCCGAGGATAGACCCAGCACTCCAGATGTGGCCACATCAATGCTCAGTAGAGAGGAAGGATCACTTCCATTGGTCTGCTAGGGGCTTTCTTCCTAATGCAGCCCAGGAGGTCGTTGGCCTTTTCTGCTTCAAGGGCACATTGCTGGCTCATGTTCAA